ACAATTTACCATTTTAATGTTTAAAATTCAAATTTACAATACCTCCTATCTCCATCGTCCTCAACACTGCCATAACTCACTAAGTCACCTTAATCGTCTTGTTCTTCTCCAACTCTCTCTCAAGTCCTCGACCGACTGCCTCATTTCTTCTCTTCTGGTCTCTTCTTTCTTTGGCTCTTTATCGAGTCTTCTATCGATAGTCTCCTCTTTTTTTTTTTCCTGTTCTCTCTTTTTCTTTTTTTTCTTTTCTTCATCCTATTTATACCCAACCTCCTAGCCATCCATTCCCATCCCTCAATTTGATTCCTTCTCACCCCTCCCCCTCTTCCATACATATATATATATGTATTATTATTATTATAATTATTTTTTTTTTTTACAACCCAAAAATTCAGTTATTACATATAATGCATTTACTTGTATATATATATATGTAGAAAATTAAAAAGAAATTAAAAAAATATTTATTTATATGAATAATGAAATAGAATATGCATATAATTGGACATAAATCTGTATTAAAATCTATCTTTATATATTAAATGGGATTTAATTTAATGAAAATTACCTTATTTTATGATATTTTATTTATTCCAAAATTATTAAAATAAATTTTTTTAATTATATTATTCTCCCTAAAAAATTAATTATATTTTTCATTTTTAACTAATCTTATTATTATTATTATAATTAAATTTATAAATATCAGGTCTTAAAAAATATATGGGAAAAATAATTTTCCAAAAAATGTCAAAAAAAGAGAGAAGAGACTGGCGAGACTTACCCACTCAAAACCTTACCCATCTCTGTAAACCCAAGCTCCACCTTCTCCTCCGGTCACCGTCGAAATTTCACAGGCAAGTCACTGTTTACTCTTCTTCTTCTTCCTTTTCACCGTCTTCTTTTGTTCCGTTGTGAAATAGATTACTATGACAAACTGTCTGCATGTTTTCTGGAACGTAAAGTTGGGATCTTTCGTGTTGTTTGTTATGTGAGCTTTCACTGTTCTTATCTTCATAGAGATTTATGTTTACTTTACTGAAAAGTTCATAGTTGATTATACTCACTGATGATAATAAGCCTTGGTCCATATTACTCTCTTTATTTGTCTGCCTTAGTTGCACCTCTGATTTCATTTCTCTGTAAATGATGATGATGGTTATGATTCGAACAACGTTTTAATCCATAGAATCTGGTTTTGGAGGTCTGTTGTTTTCAATTAGTACTATTGGAGAACAGGAGTTTTTTGCTCCTGATTGACGAATGATGATTGATTGCTTGATTATATGGTCTCTCTGCAGTCCGTGTAGCTGGAGACCCCTCTGGAAGAATGAAATTCAGAAGTTATGCGGGCATTACAAAACCCAGTTTCTTGCTTGTACATCCAGAGATACCTGCCTTTGTGTATTGTAAGTTCCAATATAAGCCCCACCTGACTGATACGTCATCGACTCTTGAAATTCCATGTTATGGGAGAAGTACTGGACTGGCTACTAGGTTCCAATGTGCTATTGCGGATAGGACTTTTGCATCTGGATCTGTAGATTCATCTGTGTCTAAGTTGGAAACTGTTGGTTTAGGCCGGAAGCAGAGACATTCATCGTCGTTGTATAGTCGTCCTAGTTTATTAGAGATGAAGAACGAAAAGATAGCAAATCGAGCCAGGGTTTATGAGTTCTTGAGGGGAATTGGTATTGTTCCAGATGAGCTTGATGGGTTGGAACTTCCTGTCACAGTAGAGGTCATGAAGGAGCGTGTGGACTTTCTTCACAAATTGGGGCTTACAATCCAAGACATAAATAATTACCCACTCATTCTTGGTTGCAGTGTGAAGAAGAACATGGTTCCAGTGCTTGACTACCTTGGAAAATTGGGTGTTAGGAAATCCACTTTCACAGAGTTTTTGAGAAGATATCCACAAGTTCTTCATGCTAGTGTTGTTGTAGACCTTGCTCCAGTGGTCAAGTATCTCCAAGGCTTGGATATCAAGCCAAATGATATTCCTCGGGTTCTTGAGAGATATCCAGAGGTTCTGGGGTTTAAACTCGAGGGAACCATGAGTACGTCAGTGGCCTATTTGGTGGGAATAGGGGTAGCAAGAAGGGAAATTGGAGGTGTTTTAACCAGAGACCCTGAGATTTTAGGGATGCGGGTAGGCCGTGTGATCAAGCCTTTTGTTGAATATCTTGAGAGCTTGGGTATTCCAAGATTAGCCGTGGCTAGATTGGTAGAGAAGAGTCCTCACATCCTTGGATTTGAATTGGCAGATACAGTGAAACAAAATGTTCAATACTTGTTAGAATTTAATGTGAGGAAATCATCACTTCCTTCTGTAATAGCACAATATCCTGAAATAATAGGAATTGACTTGAAGCCTAAGCTTCATAGTCAAAGGAATTTGCTTTATTCACTCATTGGTTTGGGTCCTGAGGATTTTGGCAGCGTCATTGAAAAGATGCCAATGGTTGTTAGCCTCAATGATGCTCCAGTGCTAAAGCATGTGGATTTCCTTAAAGAATGCGGATTCTCCTTGGAAACAAGTGAGGAAGATGATTGTAGGGTGTCCCCAAGTGCTGGCTTTGCATCTTGACATTATGAAGCTTAGCTTTGACTACTACCAACAGAGATGCAAAGGCCTCTGGATGATTTGGCTGCTTTTCCA